AAAAAATATATCCTGGGCTCTCAGTATTCGAACGCAAAGAGAGGGAAGGGACAATTAAGAATCAAACGCTGAAATAAGATCTAAGTCATCACATGATGCAGTATATTTAATTTGATAAATCAAAATCATAATAATAATAATGTGTTAAATCATTCTACGCTTACAGTAAACGAGAATTGAAAAGAACAGTTGAAATGATAAAAGGACATAATAATAATAAAAAAGGAAAGAAATAAAACTAGTGATTAAAATTAGTTTACGTAGTATGGCTTAATAATTTGAATGCATTGTATAGAAGGTCTGGCAACTGGCCAAATTTCCAGTAACAAAATATTTTATGCTTTTGAAAACATTTTACATAAACAGGAAATCGAGAATTACATGAAATTGAAAAGAACTGTAAGCGATAATTTTAATTTTAATAACATGAACGCAAACAAAAGATAGACAAAAAAAAAATATAAACCATAAAAATATTATAATAATTAAGACTTAAGGTTAAAGAAATGCGCAATAATCACAACGGCTTCGTAATTAAAGACATGTTAAGAATGTTTAAGACGATCTGAGGTGTGTAGTTAAGAGTTACATTCACGCTGTCACTATTTACGGATATTGAAATTTGGATTGATTACAGATGGATAAAATATGAAGTTACAATGATATGTGACTGTAATGTTTCGGTGTAGGCGTTGTGATTTTTGCTGCTTATAAAACATTCACATAATAACCATACTGATGCGCAGGGTGGAAAATAATAAGTTTTCAGCATTATTGTCAAGCGGAACTCGTAATTAGTTTTTATGTTCTTTGATTTTAATCACCGCATACTAAATAAATTCTATTTGCTTTTTAACTTTTATGATAACTTTATTATTTCAAATTATGCGACTGGATAAAGAGAAAGATCTCCGTTATTTCTCAGATGTAAACGATTCAAAGTAATTTACGATTGATTCTTCTTTGTGTAATCTAACTTTTCAGAAGGAAAGGAAAAGAAAAGACGCTACGTTAGCTATTGGTTATCAGTTATATCGAGGCTGTGAACAGTTACCGTGATGTTGACAATCGCTGAATTTTTACCGTGACTGACGAGGTGGCTGAAGTTCACCCGTCTGCTCGCCTCGCCTGTTTGCTTTCTGCTTATTGCAGTTGTAAAAGGGGATCTCTCCTCGTCCGAGCACAGGATTCGTGGGTAGTCAGTAGAATTTTGATTGCGGCAGCTCCGGATTGAGTCGGCTTATTACACTGATTTTAAGAACGATGCACGCTTCACGAGACTTATTTATATTTGTTTTATAATCCTCTAAACTTAATGAAAATATTAAAGATTGTTATCGTACGCTTCGCGACGTCAAGAAATATTTATGAAGTTTGTGAATCCGGAGGTGACCGTTTCATCTGCGAGTCAAGGGACGACTTATTTCTTTGTGACTGCTAGAGATGCACACAGCATACTTGCGTTATCAGCTTAACGCTGAGGTGGGGCCCTATAGTTACGCGCGAGTCGATGTGAAGTAAGAGGAAAGGAGGAATCGCGCAAGACGCTCGTCCTGCAGAGCCGAGTAGTACACAATGGTCACGAAATGTTTTTTATGTGTGTCGCCACCACATTTGGTGTTATCTGGGTGCAGTCACTAGGTTCAACTAACTTTCTGTTTTTAGTAGGCTATTACTATTGTACATTAAAAATCTGAGCGCTGGTCGCTTCGCAGGAAACTTAATAAATCTATCTTAATTCTAACGCATGGTCTTATTCTAAGCAGATAAGCGCGTGAGATAGCGGGCGGTGACCAAATTCAGCTAATTGCTGAATATAGCACTACATTTGAATATGCTTCTACGATCGCGCTTTTTACTGGGATAAAAATTTTGTAATTGACGGTTCGAACGGCTGCGGCTGCTGACGCAGTTTCTCGCAGGTATCAAAATTATCAGCTCGAGCGAGCGTGAGAGCGTCCGGTTTACAGTCCGTTATCTCGATATGCGCGCTGCATCAACATTTCGTTACTTAACAAACTCGCCAACAAAGAGCTACGACTATGTTTAAAGAATTAGAATTATGTCTTATATTTACGCATAGAATATAGAAAAAGGGAAAAGAGAACATACATCAGCGGCTAGTTGCACAGCGTAGCGAGACAAGGCGACACGCGAAATTTACGCGGTCGTCACATATGTATATTACAGTGTTTTTGTGGATTAATTAACAACTGCGGTTCTGTGCTGTGTTTCCGGTATAGCAAGAGCACCGCTGCTTTTATCAGGTAAGTTATACTTTAAATTTAATTACTCTAATTACAATTATTGTTATTGTGATTAAAGTAATTCTTTCTTCTTGATCCCATTAAATTAATCTTTTCTACGATAGACAATATGCTCTTGCTGAACTAAGTGTAGTTGTAAACGTAATCATATGCAATTACGATTATAATTGTAATATAAAAATTATAATCACATTTCCAGATAATAAAAAATTGTTGTCAAAAGTATATAAAAAATATAATTATTGTGAAGAGTGATAAACGAACGAGTCATGCTCAATCATCAAACGATTACTTCTCTCTACGTATAACATAAGATTTGCTTGTGAATGATTTGTAACACGTCTTGATAATCATATTTTTGTAACACGTCTTGATATAATCATATATTATCATTCAAAAAAAGACAATTTGACAATTATT